CCTGGGCACAACATGTATAAAATCTTAAAAATAGCTGCCTCAAAAGAACCAATATGTTGAAAAGCCTGGCATGTAAGAGCTGGGGAGCTGATAGAGACGTCCTAATAACCACATATAAAGCGTTAGAAGATCGAAAATAGACTATGGATCCACGATATACGGCTCAGCAAATAAATGTATCCTAAACATATTAAACCCCATCCAATCCTCTTGCCTACGAATTATCTCGGGTGCCTTTAGAACCACTCCTACAACCAGCCTACAAAGCGAGCTAAACGAGCCCCCATTGCATATTAGACGCAAACTGCTGGATGTAACATACGCTCTCGCAGACTTATCCACCCCAAATAACCTCACGAGCAAGTATGTTTAACCAAAGAACCGCTCAAACAACACCAATAAGAAGAAACACTGCCCCAAGCCCATATCATCAAGAATACAGAAGACTCTACACGAACTAAACATGACCCTCCCAAATGTCGAAAACCGCAACCCGTTCCCCTATCCCCCATGGATTTCCATTAACACACCCACTCTATCACTCTTCGAAAAATACAAGAAAAAAGACACTAATAGCGAAACACTCAACACCATACTCCACGACTATATTAATCAAAACAACTCTATTCCCATCTATACGGACGGAGCCAAAACAAATACCTCTTGTGGCTGTGCATTTGTTACAGAAAACAATGTTTTCATCAAAAGACTACCGAGCAGTTTCTCCCCGTTATCCTGTGAAACCCAAGCAATACTACATGCCTTAACCTACATCCTTGAATCAGATAAAGACAGATTTACCATATTCACTGACTCCGAAGCCGCGATCGAAAATATCAGCAAATGGTCACAATATTACACCATCCAATCTATACAAAAAATGATCATAGAAATACAAAACAAGGAGAAGTATTTTAAACTAATATGGATCCCCAGCCATTCCGGCCTTGTTGGAAATGAAGCTGCCGATAAAGCCGCTAAGGAAGCTTGCAATATACCGTACTGGGACGACAGATGTAAAACCAATCTACCAGATGTAAACATTTTAGTTAAAAAATTAACCATGAATTTATGGAACACCAACTGGAACACGGGCATCCCAACGAAACTACACAAGATAAAATCGAATGTTCACGAAATACCAAAATACCCTCCGATGTCTAGAAAAGAACAAGTTGCAATCACCCGCATTCGCACAGGCCACTCAAGATATACACACGATTTTCTCATAAGAAAAGACAACCCACCCGAATGCAACCTATGCAACACTCAAATAACCATCCAGCACATTATACTCGAATGCCCAAAGTTCTCCCCGGACAGAAACCGATACTTCATTAAGAGTGACTTGAAGACAAACCTAAATGAAGCAAATAACATCGGAAACGTCCTTCTCTTCTTCAAAT